AGCTAGTTAACTCATAAACCCCGTAATCGCACTTTGCATTTTCATATGCATTCAAAAACATTTTCCCAAAACATTTATACTTTGGTTCAAAATTCCGTAAAATCTATTTTATCAAAATCGCTTTTAAGATTCTTGACTTAAGAATGTCCGCAAAGCGAGTCTCGATGGCCAAGAAAAATAAAGGGAAAAACCCCTTATACCAAAAAGCCCAAAACCCTTATCATCAAGAAAACCCATCTCTTGGCGGATGCTGTAGAAAAACAAGAATCGAAACTCCAATCAAAACCCAATCCGTTAAAGATTGGGTCCAAAATCCGACAAAACAACTAGAACTCCCTCCGGCCCCGCAAAAATCTCGTGTATGAATCTTAAGCCTATTTTAAAATTAGAGAAAGGTTCTTCTTCTTCTTCGAAAAACCCCTTTCTCCAAAACTAAGTGATTCTTTCAAACTTATTTCTCAAAATACTACTTCACAAAACACTCGGGTGATTGTTTTCGCAAAACTCGTTTACAAAAAATCCACATCCGAGTATTTTCTCAAAAAGATTTTCAAAAAATTTTTACTCGTTGAAGATGGCTATTTCTTTGACAAACCTTACAAAATTGTTCGAAGTTCTTTCCTCCTAGATGGCACTTCACTCCTTGGGACTTATCAAAAAACCAATCCTACTATATGGCCATCTTAGAAAAAACAAAATCAGCCACCTTCAAACATTTCCTCACCCCGGACAAAACTAAAACTACCTATTCCACATGTCGAATCCTTAAAATCATCCATCCTTCCGACTCGTGGCCAAGACCTTTCCTTACAAATTGTATTCCTAGACAATTTCAAACCCAAGTGTTAACCATCGCCATTCTTTATCCTACTCGGGATTATCGGTAAGCATGGTTTAATACTATGTTCCTCCAAAACCGTAAGGGAAGTCATTCATGGCTTTTCTACTTTGACACAAAATTCACCTTCACAAACATCCCTATGTGGTTCACCCAATGGTGGAACTACTTTGGTCCAACTCCGGACATACTCACTCTAGTAATTACCGAGAGTTATACTCTCTTCAAAACACAATACAAACCTTTAGAAAGTGAAAAAAGATTCACCCCTATTTTCCTTTTCTCGCACAAAATTCTTCCTTCCTTGGGTTTGTTCCTGGTTTTATGAAACACAATATCAAAACCAGGCTTTAATCCTCATCCGAAGGTTCAAAGTCAAATGGTGAGACTCTTTTTAGGTTCCATCATCTATATCCAAAACAGTATTTAAGAATGGCTTACAAAACAAGGATTACTCAAGCTATCATCCTCAACAACAAATTTTATTGCACAAAAATCGTTGCTAATGCCGTACTTGCAGCAGCAAGAAATAGAAGAAGAATACTTCACCATCATGTCCGAGATGGTACAAAACAGTCAAATTCTTCACAAACAAGCAGATTCGGATTCCGAGTCGAACCTATGATAAAATTACGAAATGACAACGAAGACGAATGCTATGACATATTTTCCCAAGTTCACCATCCGTGAGCTCCAAAACAAAAATGGCACTTTCCAGGTAATTTCTTATTTACCGACAAAACAGCTTATCTCCGTAAATAAAATTTTCACAAGAATGTCACTATTCATCCCACGTGACACAAGAAGACAAAATTGCTTTCGGCGTCTTACTCGTTCATCAACACGTGAAAACACCGTAGCAAGTTACTATTTACTTCTACTCGTACATTTTTACTATTCATAGGTACTCGTTCATGGTACTATTCATAACAGACTTTCTCTATATAAAGAAAGCTCATTTCATTTGTAATACAAGTTTTTCCTTTTGTAAGTTTTCATTATCTCCCTAAGTTTTCGGACATTCTCTAGGAAAGATTTCTCTTTGTAATCCTATTCCTTCAAGATTCTAAGAACCTCTTCGTTGTAAGGTACTTTTCTTGTAAATAAATAAAAGTTTCTTACATTTATGCATATCTCTCTCTCTCTCTCTCTTAAGGTATATCGGCTGGAATACCACGACTCGGCTCTATAATGGTACTCGGTATCATCGAGCCGAACCGTGGTCTAACAACGCTATGTACCTTTCTTTTATCTTGTTTAGTGGTCGGCTCGCCACCCATTTATCTTTAGTTTTATTTCGTTTTGATTTAAAGTTCCTTTATTTTCTTTGTTTCGTTTATCCGCATCTATGTGGTCGGCTCTACCGCCCATTTATCAATCTACATTTCATTCATCTTCCATTTCATATCCCGCATCATTTATTAAATCCTTGGGGTTATTGGTATCGGAGGCTAAGTTGTTGGTTACAAAACCCGGATCTCTACCAGCTTCCGAGGTCCCAAAACCAAACATACAAATCGGATCCATAGAACAACAAATGGATGAGAGTGTTATATATATATATATAAGTAGGTAGATATTTCTTTGGTTAGTTTTTGCCTTAATCAAAATTAATTCTACTACTTCTTAACTAGTATCAAGATATATGGGTCGACTACTTAATTGTTTTTTAGATCAAGTCATCCTAAATCTAATACGTAAATAGAAATAGTGCAAATTAGTACAATATATTCGGAGAATTGAATCCTTTATAGAATAAATGGCAATTACAAGGAAGATTTGATGCTCACCAATTATATATATATAGACTTTTTGAAGTAAATGGTCTAGTCTGACCAAATACACAATTAGAGGGATGAGGTTTTTTTTTGTTTTGCCCCTTTCCTGATACCTTTTGTATCGTACGTTTTGCCTACAATGGTTTGCCAATTTCACGCCATGAAAAGGCAAAGTACTACTCCAAACAATCTTGGTTTAAGTTACTATTGTTAAAAAAAAAAAAAAAAAGTGACAATTGAAAATGTCAAAAGTATCACGAATCCATTTGAAAGCAGAAATGAATGAACTTCAACTATCCGTTGTTTGTTTAAAGAAAGACGAAAAAAATAATAAATAACTAAATAAAATAAAAAATTTCAAGTTTGTTTGTTTTGGTTTAAGATTACGATGAAAAATTGCGTTGCTCTTTGTTGAATCAAAACGTGTTTTGTTCCAAAAAAAAAGAAAAACTATTACAACTAAGGAAGTCCACAAGAGGTTACATTTGAAATTTGTCGATAACTTTAAGTTGCAAATTTGTGTTCATATTTTAAGTTGTTTCGTGGAGTATTCCTTTCAACTACATGAATTTGAGAGAAGGATAAATCATAATGTTGTGAATTAAGCTATTTTTTAAAATTACCCATCCAACTTTACTTTACCTTTTGTTAATACACTAATTTTTTTTAAAATTTTCCATCCAACTTTTATAAATTATTCTGTTATTTGTCGATGTGTTCTTTAATCCGACTACTAAATTATGATTTTTTGCCTTTAATTTTTAGAGAGAACTTTTTCTCCTAATTTCTACGTTTTATATATTAAACACTCAAATTGTTCTTATATCTAAAAAAGTAGAAGATGACAAAATGACGTGGAAGGAAAAATATTCTACAAAAATGAAAAGTCAAAATCATAATTCAATAATTTATAATATTACATTATCAAATAATGGAATATTTGACAGAACTTGGATGAAAAATACTTAATTAGTAGTTTTAAAAAGATTAGCGTAATAAAATAAATAAATTTCATATACTTGATTAAAAAAAATACATATTGATGTATTTATAATGTAATTATCTTTGCTATATATGCATCCGTTGTACTGTACCTTTAGACATTGATAGTGAGGGGCTGAGGGCTACAATTCATTCATTGATTAAATTATAAATTAGTTCTTCTTGTTTCCAAAATGAATTAATCGATAGTTTTTATTTTAAAACCTAATCATTTAGTCTCTATGTCTTGAAATCTATTTATAATTTAGTTTTTTTTTTAATTTATTTTTATTTTTTATTTTTAAAAATAGAAAAAGAAAAAACATGAAAAAATCAATGAGAAAATAAATGATTTTATTTAACACTAATTAAAAGAATAATAATAGTTTTGAAAAGGGACTAATGAATTTGTTTCTTGAAACTAGAGGGACTAATTATAATTTACTCTTCATTCATTTGATTTATTAGCCATTTTGGCACAAACATAATTAGAAAATTTGCACACACATGGCCTAGCGGAGGGCCCATGTTAGGATTGGGCCAAGCTCGTGAGTTAGAAAAAGGAATTACAGTTGTGAGATCCAGTCTATTGGGCTTTCAAATGTGACCAAAATATTTGGGTCGGCAAGCAGGAACGTCAAAAATATTATTTTAAGTTTTAGCACTAATTTCATCAAAATAATATTTTTTTCGTTCCAAAAAAGATTATGTATTTTTTATTTATATTTATTTCAAAATACTTGTCAGATTAAAAATTTAAGTATTATAATTTTTTTAAAATACTTTTTAAAAAAAATCTTCTAAATACAATTCTAAAAAAAAAAGAGGGTACTTTTATTTGAAAAAAATTAAACAAAAATTACCAATATGACATAATAATTAATATTTTTCTGTAAATAATAATAATTTTTTTTAAAAAAAAATCAGATAGAGTGATAATAATAATAATAATAAATGACAATGTTATTCTTAAAATACATTCAATTTATGTTTAATTAGTATCTTAATTAGAAGAGATCTCAAGAAATAAATTTACAAATCCAGGCGTGGATAACTTGCTTAAAATTTTATTAAGAAGATCTGAATATAAAAGGACAATATCTTTTCTTTCATCATCCTTACAAGGTAATACTTGAACTTGGTAATTAATGTTTGGGATTTCTCACCAAGTATGTGATTCATTTTTTATTCCCCTACCAAATGAAAGGTGATCCTTGTGATTTAAAAAATAGTGCAAATTAGTACAATATAATCAGAGAATTGAATACTTTATAGAAAAAATGGCAATTGCCACAAAGATTAGATGCTCACCAATTATATATATATTTATATAACGTACACATGCCACAAGCCTCCTCACGTGAAAAATAATATATCCAACAACAAATCACAAGTCTCAAACAATGACCAAAACGATGCCATTGATTTTCCACTCCCTTCTAGCATCCATGTTGCTATTTGGTTGCATCGAAGCAATTCAACAAGCTTCGTGGCCCTTGACCGGTTCTTCTCACCGAACCGGCGAAGGATCGACGAATTCCATTAGTCCTCCTATTCAATATCGTTACCCATTTTTATTCTTGGTGAAAATTGGCATCGGAACATTCGATGCAACGTCATCATCTCCTAACGCTAAAACTTTCAAATCACTTAATTTTCACCTTGACACTGGTAGTGATATTTCATGGATCCAATCTGAGGGTTGCAAGAAAGAAGGCAACACGTGCTTCCCTCAGAAAGATCCTCTCTATCCTAACACTCGGTCCACATCTTACAAGCCTATACCTTGCAACCAACACTCATTCTGCCAGCCAAACCATTGCGGCGGCGACGGCTCATGCACCTTCAACAGGACCCTAGGTCCAGGCTCCTACACAAGTGGAACTCTAGGAACTGAAACTCTCACTTTATCTTCTAGCAATGGCAAGTTGGAGGCTCTTAAGGACATTATTTTGGGCTTTAGTACTGATACTAGGAACAGCAAGTATGCCCTTCTTACTACCATGAATATTTCAAATCCAGTGAGTGGAGTTTTAGGTCTAGGAAGGGGTCCTCAATCCTTTTTAGCACAAATAGACTCCTTGAGTGATGGAAAATTCTCATATTGCATCAAAGAAAATAACACCCAAAATACCTATTTAAGGTTTGGTAAAGATGTGAGGCCACCAAAAAATCCACAAACTACTAAACTAGTACAGGCCAAAACCTCCCCAGCTTATTATGTGAATTTGCTTGGCATTAGTGTTAATGGGGTTAAGCTCAACATCTCGAAAACCGATTTCGATTTGAAAAGTGATGGTTCTGGTGGATGTGTTCTAGACTCTGGTACCATGGTCTCATTGCTGGTTATGCCTGCTTTTGATACACTGCATAAAGCCTTGGAAAGTAATTTGTCAAGCAATCCACACCTGAAGAGGGTTATCATCCATCCGAAGCACAAGGATCTCTGCTATAAAGAGCTGTCCCCAGAAGGCCGAAAGCAAATTCCTACAGTCAAATTCCACCTGGAAAATGCTGACCTTGAAATTAGCCCTGGTTCATTGTTTTTATCTGGAATAGTTCCATCAGGGGATAACATTATCTGCTTGGCTATTCTTGGGACTCCATCTCGGAATGCGATTGGTGCATTTCAACAGAAGGATCACAAGTTTGTTTATGACACTAAAGCTCAAGTGTTGAGTTTTGGTCCTGAAGATTGCAACCAAGATTCTTAGATATTGTGTTATCAGAATAAATTTATCTGTTTTCCATCTCTCTCTCTCTCTCTCTCTCTTCTTGATCGAATTATATCACTCACCTAGCAATACAGGATAGATCCAAGTAGGAAAATTCCCTCAATTAAGCAATAAAGCACCAAAACCGCTAGACATGGCTCATAGCCTAAAATAATATTTTTTGGACTACAAAAAAAGGAAAAAAGAAAAAAAAAAGAGATATTAATTTCTTTACAACAGAAATTTATTCATTAATCCAAAAAGAACTGTCGCTACTCGACGTCGAACGGGACTCCTCGAAAATATCTAAAATTGGATTAAATATTTACAAGTTTATTTACGGAGCTTTGGAGTCGCCACCTAGTATTAAAGAACTAGGAACCTAAAAGTAGCACTTGGTTTAGAGATTCCGGATAAGGAGTTGATTACGCTTTAGGAAGATATCAATCACCCAAAGACACTCTTTCCAAAAAAGGTACCATGTCTAATTTAGTCCTAAATTCATCTCCTAAAATATTTTATTTATGTCAAATTATTTTTTTTATTTGAAACTCCGATTTTTAAAGCATTAAGAAACAATAAATAAATAAAATAAAATACAATAAAATAAATTAGTTTTGAGCATGGCATCGTATTGAAGCGATCGTCGATCCCCTTCATCGGGTGACACGTCGGTTCAAACATCGGATCCACTTAAAGCCTTGATACAACCGGTGCATCGGAGGACGTCTTAATTAAAAAGGTGATTTTTGATGACGTTAGTCCCTATCACGTAGGAGGCTTCGTCAAAAATCTTGAATATTCTTTTTGGGTGATGTCAACCCCTATTAGATAGGAGACTTCATCGAATTTATTTATTTATTATATATTTTATTTTGTGGTGTCGATCCCTACCGAGTAGGAGGCTTCGCCAAAATTTGAGACTTTATTATTTTTTTATTTTTTATTATTTTATTAATCTAATAAAAAAATTAAAAAGAAGAAAAGAAGAAAGAAAGAAAAAAGAAAACCTCAATTAATGCAGGAAGAGGTGACGAAGAAAAAAAATTGGCTAAAAGAGAAAAAAAAAAAGAACAATTAAAATATTAAAGGAAATGATTTTGAAAAAAAACAAACCCGTAGCCCATGATAATTTTCTTTCCTACCCAATCCGTTTCCCTTTTTTTTTTTTTTTTTTATACCAAATGGACCCATTCTGACTTTATCATGCCTTTATTCATTTTTTTCATACTTTCATTCTTTCTTCCGTAAAACTGGACTAGCTCCAGTTTTTCTTGTCATTTTTTTTATTTTTCTTGGAGGAAAGGGCGGGGAGGACTGGATTGGAGCCCAGCCTCCTTCTTCCTTGTTTTTTATATATATATATATATATAGGAGAGGGGAAAGGGAATTTGGCGTCTTTGCATTTTTTTTATAAAAAAGCCTACGGTTAGTCTGGACTAAAATAAATCCAGCTTTTTGTCTAAGCCTAACCCACTTTTTTTATTTAAAAACTTCTCAACAAGACCAAGCCCACAGACCACAATTTGGCACCCGTTTCCCTAATTCCTTTTTTCCTATTCTTTTTTCTTCGCCCTTTTCCCGTTCTCCTTGGATATCAAAACCAGCCATTTTCTCATTTTTATTTTTTGAATGAATTTTATCCCGCAAGAACTGAACAACTTCTAAAAAAAAAACAAACCTAACTACTGTCATGTTTCTCTTCTAGATTAAAGCAATCATTTTAGTAGAAATTAAGAACAAAAGAATTAGAGGGAGATGACTTACTGAGTGGTGCTTCAACGAAATGAGAGAAGCCAACAAGAATTTTATGCTATTTGAATTTCTTTATGTGGTTGCGTTTGACTCCTTTGCAGGCGCTTGAAAACCAACTTGTTATGAAGAAACTCACGAAGCTGCCCGAATTCCAGAAAGATTGCAGCAGAGTGCTACTGCTCCAAGTCCAAAATTCCCATTTTTGTTTGTGATGTATTTTTTTATGCAAACCAGAACTCCCCTCCTGTGTTTTCTTTCCTCTATCCCCCTTTTTTTTTTTTTTTTTTTTTTTTTTTTTTCAGGATACTCGCTCTTTTATAGACATTGAGAATTTGAGTTTCACCTTCAATCAAACACTTTCAAATTCAAGTTTCATCCTAAATCAAATACCTAAAAATTTAGATTTTTTAGTTATTCAATTTGAACTCAAATTCTGTTATTGAAAGGTGATCCAACCAAGCTAAACTGAATTTTAAAAATTGGGATAGACTTCAATCTGTTTTTTTTGGTTTTTTGTATTTTTTTTTAAATAATAATAATATAATAAAAAAAATGAAAGTGCTTTTTTTTTTTTTTTTGGTTATTACAAGAACTACAAAAAGCTGTGGTCTTTATTTGGAGTTTGATGAAATATTTGGACAGACAGCGTGATATTATATTAACCAGTCAAATTTCTTTACATAATTCTGTTTATCGTTGCAAAATGGATTCCATCATCTTCTGCCTTCCAATATCAAGAATCAGTATCATAACAGAAATCTGACTCTTCGCCCTCAGTAAAAACATCTACATATTGCTGCTTTTCAGCCCTTGCGAAATCACATTGAAATTTGGTTTTCACCAAAAATGATAGACCAAACTTGAAGTGGAAGTCTCCATGCACCATTATAGAGAACATGGTTTCCAAGTTGATTATCCCGAGAATAACAACTAAGAAGCCAGATTATGGATATGATTTACAGCCATCTAGTTTGCTAATACAAAAGATGATGGGTTGTGATTCTCTCATGTTTCCTTAAACATGGATTATTATTTTCTTTTAATATAAGACTTACAAATATAATTGGATAGATAAAGTTAAATGGTCAATATTTACTTAATTAATTAAAGTCTAAATTTAACCTTTCGAATTAATACTTATTTTTCATATACCTTTAAATATTATGTTCAAGAGATCATGAGAAGATATCAATCCAAAAAAGTTTAACAACAATAATAAATAATATAATATTCATGAATTAGTATCCTCTCAAGTTTTTAAAATAACACGGCCGATTATGTTTCAAATTTTAAAGAATGTTGATATATATATATATATATATATATATATATATCCATGGTAATAGATATAAGATTTTTTTTTCTTGGGCATAATCATTAAAATCTCCTTGACATGGAGAATATATATATTGCTGATTTTTTTAAAAAAATTCGCGACGTAGCGTGCAACCGGTTAGTGTTTTAACTTAACTGTGATGGATGAGTCTTGTTGCAAATTAATGGAAACGGATAAGGTAAAGTGTGCTTAGGATCATTGTTATTATTATCGTGATGATTCATATGTGATTGGTACCTCTTCTTAATATTTTCATGTTTTGATTAACGAGCTCACGCATCACATCATAAATTAATACATGTAGAGAGAGATAGGCCACCTAGCCAGAGCACACTTCTTGATGCTCTTTCAAGAAAATGAAAGTAATCATCATCGGAAGAAAAGATTTGCAACCCCATGTTGATCGCATATTAATTACCAACAATATCATGCATCGTCACAAGATTTGCTGGCTCAATACTGGGAAGCTGGACAATGATCAATATCACTATATCTATTACGAAGTTAAATATAAAATTATTATAAAATCTCATTTTTTTAATATAATATAATATTAACAATTAAGAGTTTAAATCCCACTCTACTACCTCTATAAAAGCCTAGCTAGGTCACCTTCTGTCTCCCTCTTTCTCTCGTAAAATATAAGAAACCGTCTGCCCTCTCTGAACGTATTTGATAGCAGTAAACATGGCAGCAGCAGTTGTGGCTCCACCAAACCCAGAAGCTCCTGAGTCTCACTACGATGTCAAGCTCTTAAATCGCTGGGCTTTCGATGATATTTCCGTATGTTTTCTTCCTTTTTTCCTCCCGTGATATCTCCATCAACCAATCTGTACTTCGGAAATCGTGTTTGTTTATTATATTCGATCTTCCTTTTCGGATTTGAATGTTTTGTCGTGTTTGTTACCTTCTAGTCAATATGATGCATCAGATATCAAATTTTGAGAGATTGCATTTTATTTTGCGTGCTGAATAATTAGAAGCGCGGGTTAGGGTTTTAATTCTAGTAACTTTTTTTATGCGTCTGTAGTTGATCTGTTCGATGTTGTTAGGTTCTTACTTTTTAAGTGCATACGTCCCCCACATAGTCATCAGATATATTAAATTTAGATCTCCTTTTAAATTCTTGGGCTGTATAATATTACTTAATATGGCAATGGATTTGCTTGTTGTTGGTTAGGTAAATGACATTTCTCTTGCTGACTATGTTGGAGTCCAAGCTAAGCAGGGCTACGTATGTCCCCCACACTGCTGGGAGATACTCTGTAAAGCGTTTCAGGAAGGCCCAGTGCCCAATTGCTGAGCGGCTGACAAACTCTCTTCAGATGCATGGCAGAAACAATGGAAAAAAATTGAAGGCTGTTACGATTGTCAAACATGCTATGGAGAACATTCATCTTTTGACTGATCAGAACCCAATCCAAGTTACTGTTGATGCTGTGGTGAACAGGTCTGTTAAATACATAGGTTTTTTTCCTTATAGATTGCTCATTGTTTGAATTATTGGAAGATGATTAGTACTTGTCGTGGCATTTTATTTTATTTTTTTTACTTATCAATGGTAATTTTAATACTCTCTGTATTAGTTAAAAATTACATTTTAAAAATTCTAAACCTGTTTACATGTTTAGACAAATTTAAAATTATGCATGTCATTTAATTCAAATATATATACCAATTAAGATTAAATTTAGAAAAATAAAAGACATGTAAGATCCAATTATTATTGTCATTTATGGATCAAATGGTTGGTCAAAGAAAAAAGTTATAAAAAATAAAAATTACTTCCTCCGTCTAGGGAGAAAATTGATCAACATATCTTAGGTGATATAAGCTTGCCGTAGCTAATAACTTACCGAACTTTTTATAGCAAGCCGAGTGGGATAGAATCGACAAAAATAAGTTTAGTGATCGAGCTTTTTGATTTGAGCATTTAAAGTGTAATATTTTTTATAACGATAACGATAATGATAAAAGTGATAAGTACATTATGAATTAAGCTAAAAAATAAATGCATTATTAAAATTACTTATACGAGTTAGCATAATAACAAGAAAATATGTATGCATATAATTGTTGATATTTTTATAATTTAAAATTATATGACTTTCAATATCAAAAAAAAAAAAATAATAATAATAACAATAAAATTGAGAGATTATATATATAATGATTATGCAAGCACAAGAAATGCAAAAAATCTATTTATAATAAAGAAAAAATATACTTCGAGTACAAGAAGGGGATAGATATTTGGTGTGAGAAAACTAAAATAAATTTCTTGAAAAAACTATATTTTTGGTGTCAATCCATTAATATATTTTTTTCTATTTACGTGCCCAATCTTTAATCTTTTTTTGTTTCAATGCCTAACCTTTGATTTTTTTTTTCTATTTGAGTGTCCATAGCTATTTGAGAGTATAAAGTGTTGACGTGACGAAATTGATTGCAACATGATAGATCTCACCGAACATATCAACAAAATTGAACCTCATGTGAATTTGAACACCAAAACAAATAAAAAATCAAAGCTTAAGTAGCAAATCATAAGAAATCAGTAGTTGAGCACTAAAACATACAAAAAAAAAAAAACAAAAAACAAAAACAAAAATCAAAAGTTGGGCACCAAAAAAGTTTTTTTCTTGTAATAATGCTATAAATTTTTGCAAAAATAGTTCAATTATGATTTGAATTATTACCTTAAACTTCACCTCTTTTTTAAGATTACTACAAACACAAAATATTGAAATAGCATGAAGTCTAATATTAACAAAAAAAAAAAAAACCTTCATTTTTTTCTCAACAATCATTTCATACTTTTTAAATTATTTTTTTTCTTTTCGAGTTCTTAAAATAAAAAATCAAAATAAATTAAAAAGAAATGAAAAGAATTAAGTTACAAGAAAAATGAACTAACTAATTAGTTCTTGAAACAAAAAAAGACTACTTAATTTATTTTTTAAAGGCTTTGAAACGTCTTCGTTGAAGCTGTTGTTGTGATTTAGAATCTAATCAAGTTATGTAGTTTCAAAGGCTTTGGTTCTCAGTTTATAGCCAAGATTAGAAGGCGTAGTCCAAAAATTGATAAGGATCATGTGAAAACCATGCTTGTTTTGGTTTTCTGTCGTAAGACGGATTGCCCATTTGTCCTAAAGGAATACTACTTTCAGTGTCAAATTAAGCAGGTTTATAATTGCCAAAAAATCTATCCATATACTAACCATAAAGATCCTCTATGCGTGGTTAAGATCCAATTTGAGAGGGATTAATGGCCTGATGATCTCCTAATCATTAAACATAATAAAAAAAGATTAATATTGTTGATATGGTTAACACTATCTAAAAGAAAATTGTGATTTGTAAGACACCATATTAAAATATAATTTATCTAGAAAATAATTTTTCACCATGGGAGGGGGATACTAAACAGGTTGAGTGCCTATATATATATGCACTCGAACTTAGAATCTCGTCACATATTGAATTGATATGTCATTTCTAACATAAAATTAGAATCCACCATAAAGTTAAAAATAATGATTATTGTATGGTGAAACTGAAAAGAAAGAAATATATTAAAATTAGTAAAAATATATTAATTATCTTAATGAAAATCATGACAGTAAAAAATAATGTAAATCACAAATAACATGCGTCACGCACTAATTAAAACAAATAAGATGAAATTGACTTGACTGTTTGAACGATTAAATTACGAGTTTACCCCATAATTGGTCTCTATACAATTCTATTTTTTTTTTATCGAGACCCTCTATTGTTTTTCAGTATGATTGAAACCTTCTACTCTTATAATTTTGTTGATCGAGAGCCTCCATTATAATGCCGTTAACTATTTATCATACGTTTAGCAAGTTAAAACTAATGATAGTTAATCGGACAATGACACGTGATAAATTTTTTTGATTCCTATTTTCATATGTCGAGTTTTTGATTGGCATGTGAGATGAATAATTAACGGCGTTATAACGGAGAGTCTCAATCAATAAATTTATAAGAGTAAAAGGTTTCAATCAAGCTGAAAAATAATAAAAGGTCTCAATAAAAAAAAGTTGGAACTATACAATGATTGGTCCCTATACATTTCTAATTTTTTTTTATTGAGACTCTCTATTATTTTTTAGTTTGATTGAAACATTCTACTCTTACAAATTTATTGATTAAGAACTCTCATTATAATGCCGTTAACTATTTATCATACTTTGCAAGTTAGAACTAATGGTAACTAATCGGACAATGACACGTGGTAAATTTTTTTGATATCTATTTTCATATGTCGGTTCTTGATTGGCACGTGAGATGAATAGTTAACGGCGTTATAACAGAGGGTCTTAATCAATAAATTTGTAAGAATAGAAGGTTTTAATCAAGCTTAAAAATAATAAAGGGTCTTAATAAAAAAAGTTGAAACTATACAAGGATTAATTACCCTTTTAAAAATATAAAGAATAATTAATTTTAAAAATAAAAAGGTGTAATTATCTCGTTTCTTAAAACTAAAGGAATTAGTTTATAATTTTATCTAACAGTACTATTTAGAACAACAAACAGAAACAAAATAGACTAGTCTTGCAATTGGTTTTTTGTAACCTAGATGGAAATGATTTTGATCCATCATGAAAGTGTTGAGACTATGGGCTTTTCGTATCTCTTTATTTTATTTTATCCAAAAGAACTAAACTTGGGCTTAGACCATGCATACATTCATAGGCTACATCAAGTCTGGGTTGATAACTTCTAAGTCCAAATGTTCAATGATCCATATAAAGCAAAGAGAGTTTGCTGGCAAAATATAAAGTAGCCGACACATTATATTATTAATTCAAAATTTGTTTTTCTAATTTTTTAAAAATATAATTATTCAACTTGAGAATGATACAATGAAATTCTAATTCAATAATTATTATTACCTTGAAAAAAATATTATTTAAGTCGTAAGATTATGAATTGTTAAGTTCATTTATTAATTTGTTGTGCTTTAAAAATCTATCTTACCATTTTGTAATTTGATCAATTGCTTATAATAATTAAGAATGATTAAATATAATTTCAACAGAAATTAAGTACAATCTAGAGAAGAAAAAAACTATTTTTTTTAATTATCACAAATTAATAAGTTTTTGTACATAATATACCATAAATCTTATCTTATTACTTCGTAAATTTCAAAACACTAAATAATTATAATGCCTTTAAAGAACCATAGCAAAACAAAGTAAATATATCTTTTACCTTTACCCTTAACGTTTAGTGTAACTATTTGTTACTCTCTCTTTTGTAGCATTTGTTACTGTTCGTAAAACTATTTTTTTTTAATTATCACAAATTAATAATCTCTCTCTCTCTCTCTCTCTCGCGGTGCTGACCCAAATCTATTTACAGATGATGCTGAAATAAATGTAATTAATAATACGCATCCAAATCCCATTGTTATAAGGATAATTGCATTACCAATATACTAACTTTTAACTTTTTTTTCAATGGAGTACATGCATTTTAATTTTTTCTGTTTGAGTATATTAATTTTTTTAAAAACTATCAATCAAGTATTTTCATTAATTTTTTTTAAACCGATACGTGTTCGAATATAAAATTATAATTTTATTCTCTTTTTGTTGAAGGAAATTAACTTTCTTCCCAAATTATTTTACCATTTCAAAATTTGAAAAAAAAATTAAAAAAATAGTTTTTTATCTTTAAAATCCCAAACTAAAATCAATTAGATTGCTGTTAAAAAAAAAAACTTTAGTTGGGATTACGAGTAAAAATTCAAGAAAAAAAAAATCTTTTTGATGAAAAGTCTTATGTGTGTGTTTCCTTCAACTTTTCCGCCCAAAAACTAACCGAGTTTTTTTTTTTAAACAACAAACCTAATTGAGTTTAATTCGAAGTTTTACAACTAAAAAATAATTTTTTAAAATTTTTTGTCAAATTAAAATGATAGAATAATTTGAGAAGAAATTTCTTTACAATAAAAGAGATAAAAAATATAATTTGGTATTTGGACATGTTATCGGTTAACAAAAAAATTGATAAAAATACTAGTTGACATTTTTAAAAAAATTAATGAACTAAAAAAAAAATTCATGTACTCTATTAAGAAAAAAAAAAGCAAAATTATAATTTGGCATTTTGAAGCTAACAAACACATTATCGGTTAATCAAAAAATTAACGGAAGTACTCCATTGATAATTTTGAAAAAAATAATATAGTAAAACAAAAATAAAATAAAATTTATACACTCGATCGAGAAAAAAATTAAAAATTAATATACTCATAATGCATTTATTCCCATCATTATGTATATTATCAATACTTGCAACTTAATTATTGGTCATTAATTGAAATCCCTTCTCTAGAAACTAGATTTTGGGTCACTTTCTTGCAATTATATCTTGACAACCCTAATGTGAACTTCAATCATAGAGGCAGTACCACATTGAACAAGAAGAGTAATGATCATAAGCAATATCAGCCTAG